TCCAACGCATTTTATATCGTTTCGACCCAAAGGATCCTCTAATGGTGTTTGAATTTAACCGCGTTTGTTTTGGTTTAAAGTCGAGCCCATTTCATGCGTTACGCACGGTGAAACAGCTCGCCCACGATGAAGGTCCCTCTTACCCTAATGCTAAGAGGGCAATTGAGAGCGGTTTATATATGGATGATTTTGTATACTCGGTCGATAGCGTGGAGGAGGCCACCCTAACCACCGCCGAGGTTATAAGGCTCATGAAATCGGGTCAATTCGATCTTGTGAAGTGGACTAGTAATTCGCGTCCGGTTTTAGATACAATCCCACTATCACACCGTCTTTCGGCGATAAAGGAGTTCGACGATTCCGATACACACAAAGTGCTCGGTCTGTGTTGGTCACCAGAGTCGGACGTGTTTAGCCTTAAGATAAATCCGCCCGTAGAGAAATGCACAAAGCGCACAATACTGTCATGCGTTGCTAGATTATGGGACGTCATGGGTTTAGTAGCTCCGGTGGTATTATACGCTAAGCTTTTGATTAAACAACTTTGGTTATTTGAATGCGATTGGGATGACTCGCCGCCTGACAGCATTGTTCGATTGTGGCAGCGTTTTAGAGAGGAACTTCCTTTACTAAGAGAAATTAGAATACCGCGTCATATAAACGTCGATAGAAATAGCGTCATAACGGTCGTTGGGTTTGCAGACGCCAGCGAGAAGGCTTACGTGGGCGTTGTATATTTCCACGTTCAGAATAATGGTAGAAATTCGATTAGCCTCATTAGTTCTAAGTCGAGAGTCTCCCCCCGTAAGGTTGTCTCTCTGGCGCGCTTAGAGCTTTGCGCAATATTAGTACTCACCAAGCTTATTACCGCAGTTATCAGCGCATGTAAGGATAGAGTTCACATAGAAAGGATATTTGCCTTTTCCGACTCCACCGTCGCCTTATGCTGGGTTGATTCTTCACCCCACCGTTGGGATACGTTTGTCGCGAACCGAGTGGCCAAGATCGAAGACGAGTTAGAAACGCGGAACTTTTATCACGTGTCCGGTACGGAAAACCCTGCCGATTGTCTATCCCGGGGACTCACCCCTATGCAAATAATGGAACACCCGCTTTGGTTCCATGGACCTTCTTGGGTTCACTTGGATCCCTCGCAATGGCCGATAACCGATTTCGAACCTTCGTCAGTGTCACAACCGCCGGAAGAGAGGAGACACGCTCTAGTGGCGAACGTTTCGAGCGAGGTTTCTCCAATCATTGCTTTGGCGAACCGCTTGTCCTCTTGGTCGAAATTATTGCGTAGCGTAATTTACGTTTGTCGATTCGCGAAGCTTTTACCGCGACGTTCGTATGTCTTAGCGTCCGATTACAACTATGCCGAGTCGCTAGTATTACGTGAACTTCAACGTGCACACTTCTCTGAAGAAATTACAAGATTACAATCGAATAGAGCTTGTAGTCGCGCCTTTCAACGCCTTAAGCCATTTTTACAGGATGGGATTGTAAGGGTAGGTGGACGCTTGTCCAACTCGCAGTTGAGTTTCGACCAACGGCACCCTATAGTTTTACCGCGTAAAGACCATATCATGAACTTATTAGTCGATTACCATCATAAATTGAACTCCGACGCTGGCCCCGACTTGTTGATGTCGATTTTGCGTCAGAATTATTGGATTCTTTCTGCACGTAGTTTAATACGCAATCGGGTGCACAGATGTATAGCATGCTTTCGGGCACGCCCCAAGCCGTCATTTCCGGAAATGGCGCAACTTAGATCTTGTAGAGTAATACAATCGGTAAAGCCCTTCCTGCACACCGGGTCGGATTTCGCTGGTCCGTTTAAGGTCACGCTCACTCGCGGGCGTGGTATAAGATCCACAAAGGCTTACGTCTGCATTTTCGTATGTCTAACTACTCGAGCGGTGCATATAGAACTCGTTGGTGATCTAAGCACAGCAGGCTTTATGGGTGCATTTAAAAGATTTCTATCCCGCAGAGGCCCTGTAAGTAAATTATATTCGGATAACGGTACGAACTACGTCAGTGCAAAACGTATTCTATCGCAACTACATGACCTTTAGCTAGCAAGTATTATAATTCGGAGTTCGCTCACATTCTAGCCGAGAACCGCATTGAGTGGTCTCTGAACGTCCCAGCCGCGAGTCATTTTGGAGGCAATTGGGAGACTAATATTAAGAGTCTAAAGAGTCACTTATACCGAGTAATAGGAGATCAAATTTTGTCCTTCGAAGAGCTAAATACGGTGCTCGCTCAAATTGAATGCGTAATGAATAGCCGCCCACTTTGTCGGACGTTGTCTAGTGACCCCTCGGAACCGCTGGCTCTAACTCCAGCACATTTTTTGAATTTAACGCCTTTAAAGTATTTGCCCGCCGCAGATATGGATGAGAACAGACTTAGCATTTCCGCACGCTACAAATTATTAGATCGGTTAGTGCAATCGTTTTGGAAACGATGGAGGATGGAATACTTGCATACTTTGCAGTCTCGGCAAAAATGGAACACAGCGACTGAGCCTTTACCTGTAGGAACTGTAGTTGTGCTCACCAAAGAGAATACGCCGCCTCTCCACTGGCCGTTAGGAATTGTCGAAGAGGTCTTTCCCGGTTCCGACGGAGTAATTAGGATAGCTCGCGTTAAGACCACGGTTGGGTCTTACCTGCGTCCTGTTGTCCGTTTGTGCCCCTTGCCTCTTCCATAATTTAAATTAGCTTTCTAGAATAAAAATTGCAGTTGAATTTAGGTAATCTTAGCGTTAGTTAGTTATTTTGTTAGTTGATCTTAGCTCTAGTTGTTTTAGTTATTTTTTGAAGGAAATCCTTCAAGGGCGGGGGAGATGGTTGCGCGGAAAACCATTCGTATTTATTTAATTTGACGGTAGGCTGCCAAATCGGTTATCCCATTCCAAAACGATATCATTCATACCCTCCTATCGACACATCGGGGTGGTGGGGTGGGAGGGGAAAGAAGATGATTCTAGAATGTCACGTAATCATCGGAACCGAGGATATATAAGACACGCGCGACCGACGCGCAATCTCTTCCCGCCGCGCTCGTTGTTGGAACCACACTACTAGTAGAACCGCCTTAGCCTGGAAGCAGTCGAGCTCCAGGAAACCCGCCTCACCTCGTGTGAGATATAGTCGCGCACCGCCCCTCTCCGGAGTGTTCCAGAAGTCGCAGTTATAGTGCTCGACCGCATAGAAGAAACATCCCGGTGAGTCAATATCCAATATTATTGCCTGCTTGATATAATCGTTTTAACCCGCTCCAATTTTGTGTTTTCCTAATCAAGCAGGATTCCTTTCATCGATTTGGCAAATAATAGTTTTTGTTTTTGCGATTTGGCAAATAATTTTTTTGGGAAGAGCGAGTGCATTGTACCGCATATATAAGTGTAGAAGCATTAGTAGATACAGTCCACTTAGATTAGTATCTCGCGTAATAGGTTTAAGGTTCGACCGGGGAACTAGACTTCGGCAGCCTTAAACACGTGGCTCCACCAATTTCGGTTTATTATCCTAAGAATAATATATATTTACCAAATAATCTTTAAATTTTATTATTTCTGGTAGATTCTTCTAGATGAAAAAAAAATTATTGTAATAATTGCCCTCTGTTATCCAGTAACGTCACTATTTATTTACAAATATGTTAGTAATTGACGACGTTCCTAAAACCGATTTTTACCTTATATTTAGAAGAGTCACCTAAAGCTAAAATGTTTTCTAAATAAATATTCAACGTAGTATTGCTATTTTTCGCTAGATGGCTTAACGCACGCGCGTGCTCACAGTTTTTGTATGCAATTGTTCCCAATGCCCGCTCTATAGTATATATATATTTAAATCTCTTTAGTTAAATGTTACACCTCATTATTCAGTGACGCCGCCCTGGTGGCAGAAAAGTCGTGAATTATGCCCTCATTATGTTATATGCCTGATATGTCGTAAAGGCGACTAATGGGAAATTGGGTTTGTTATTTTGTAGGCGATGGGCTAGGCGCCATCTATTACCTCTTACAATTTTAATTTAAACCCTAGTTGCTCTTCGGACTCTGCCTATCCCCTCGCATGACGCTATGTATGTATGCTATTCAATTTTTAATAGCAGGAAGTAAGAAGCACGTAAAATCTTTGATCCTGCGCCTGAACTCTCTCCGACTAATTACCGCCCCATCGGATTATGAGAGTGAGGGAATAGAGAGTGCACCTGTGCTTGCGCATACACTTGGGCACTATAATCCTGTCCTGCGACGATGGCTAGTCTCCGTTGAGGCAGCCGCCGTGGCCGAAATTCTGTCTGGAGGACATTATTATTATTGTTATGTTATTCAAACAAGCGTGTGTACTAATGGTATACGAACAAGGACGGTTGCGTCTTGATTCTACGCCTTTTAGTAGTGGTAGAGCCACGCTGCAGCTATATTATGGTTGTAGCACGAATAAGTCGACTCGACCGGGGAAGGAACACGCTCCACGCTCTCGTAGAATAGCAGCTTAATGCTGCTGTGTTTCGTATGGTGAGTTTAGAGAACCGAAGACCCGTTTTACTGGAATCGAGGCACACCATCTTAGACCTCAGGGGTGACAACGCATCTGCATTTTGATTCTTAATCTAGGTTAAATGTAAGATGTCTGTGGGCCACAGCATCTACTTACCAACACGGACTGTGTGCTATTTGTCACTCTTATTCTATATAAAAAGGGAATTGTGAGCGCGAGCGTGAAACTGATTTCACATTCCAAAGCCAGTGCTGAAAGACATAGTGTACAGAATTAAAAATAAAATATACAAAAAAAATTATTACAGCTAGAATGTCGTCTAAATATAACAAAAACATTAAAAATATCATCCACTATTTTGTTACCCTTAGCCGATTACAAACAACAACAAAAAACTGATTTCCACATTATTAGGCCATCAAATGGCGGACAGAACCTCATACTGTTTAATTAAAAAAAAAACTAAATGGACAGAATGCACGTCGCGAGTGACACGGTATGCGCTGTGCGCGGTGATCTGCCACGCGGGTACGGCTGGCGGCGGCCACTATACGTGCGTGGCGCGTAGTGGCAGCGGTGGCAGTGGTGGCGGCGGTGGCGGCTGGCACTGCTTCGACGACGCGGCCGTCACACCCGTGCCATCGCACCACCTCGCCTCCTGCGAGGCCTACGTTCTTTTCTACAGGTGGGTGTGTATGTGTGTGGCCATATTATTCGTGAATACTTTGTAAATTCATGCGAAGTCGCAAGCACATCGTTTCGCTCTCGGTAAACTCTCGCTCATCAAAGCGTTTTATCGCAATGAGCTTCACTTGTACAACTACACTTCAGACGGCCCACAGACATCATGCATAGCGGACGTGTAGAATCAAATTAGGATTTACGTCGTATTTTCGACAGTGACAATTTTTGGAAGTATTGAGAAGATAAATAATCTGATGAGAAATTTTGAATAAATAATGCAGGCGTCTAAATCTCTCCTCATTTGCCAAAAACGTAGTAAAAAAATATTATTTAATGCCATATGTTTAGAGCGACCACGACGTCCATTTTGTGCTTAGTGTGTGTTTATCACGATAAACTGTCGATAAACTTTACAATCGAATAAAATGACACTCGGCTTTTCTCAATCGATTTGGCACGAACTATAGTTTAGCCTTTACCTAGTTCCTATTACACAAAGGTATAACGATAGATATGTGGATATGGAAATTAATGATTTTGCTACCGCCGTGTATGGCTCCGTAAGTATACTCAAAAACCGTTTCACACAAATTAATATTATATTTTGCACCAGATTCTCCCATTCCCTTTAATATTTGAAACATTCTACTAGCATATGTTGGACATTTTCTATAATGTGACAAATATCGATTTATTATAAATTTATACTATGTAGAGATTAATTATAGTGATACCTCGAAATTTTGGTGATTTTTCTATTTAACATATTTTTTTAAGTTTTATATATTACAAACCAAAATTTTGGTATATGATTTTTGACTATATGACCGATTGCATAAAAAGAAAACACGATATCATGTGATTTTCTCGATAGAAAATAATTGCAAAGTAGGCTCTAATTCTTTACATTACTCCACGACAACATAATATTATTACGAATAAGTTCATAGAATTATTTTTAAAGCATAGTAAATAATCATATCTAAGTTCTCATAAACCAGTTTTTTTAATACGTAACGAAGTTTTGTTAAAATAAATCAAAATGTTATTTGGCGCTTACGTAGTTTTTTTTCCGAGCGCTTGCTCGGTGTCGCTATCTCATAATTTGCGTACTATGAAGTCATTGCATCACTTTCATTTTGACACTCCCTCAGTTGTCCGTTAGCTTCACCGACAAAGGAATAAGCCACGCTCCCAAAACTTCGATTCATTTTCAAGGTGTCTTCTTAATATCAAGTTCACATTTTTAGTGAGAGCTTTCAAAAGTAATATTACATTAACTTAGCTTATTTAACTTACAGAAAAGTCAATCCCCAGATGACGGTGCTGAGACAAAAGGCGGCGGAAATATTGGAATCGACGAATGTGGAGCCTAACGACATCAAATTTTATATCTCCAAACAGTGGCTGAATAAGTAAGTTTAAACATGTCATTGTTTTTATCATTTTAGTTCCCTGCTATGCAAAAGTAACGACATTCAATATTTTAACTATTTATATTTTCTCGATGTCATTCTAATATAGGTAACTACTTTCGTTAACTGTTAACTTAACAATCGAACAATTGAGTTAAAAACAATGCACCTGACGTCAAGTTTTTATACGCGGTAGAGCCATGCTGCAGTTATATTAGTAGTATAGTTGTGGCACGAATGGGTCGGCTCCACCGGGGAAGGACCACGCTCTCACAGAATACCAGCGTGTTTCGTATGGTGAGTGTAGCGAACTGGAGACCCTTTTTACTGGAAACGAGGGATTCCATCTTAGCCCTCACGGGTGACAACGCGTCTACATTTTGATTCGCAAACGAGGATAGATGTAGATGTCTATGGGCCGCAGCAACCACTTAACATCAGGTGGACTGTGTGCTCGTTTGTCATCCTATCCTATAATAAAAAACTCACTACATGTAATGAATTGTACGCAAATCCAGACAAATAAAACTATTCCTATTGTAATTTGCATTGTCGTCTCTGAGGAATAGACAAAATTCTTAAACCTGCCATACAGTCTCACCATCATATAACAATGGATGCGCGTTTACTTCGCGGCAGTATTAGGTACGAAAGTAGTATCTATTCAGACGCACTTTTAGGAACAAAAAGAGCCCATACTTAATGTAATTTTAGCGCTTGCTTGATTAATGTCTATCATTGACAGAATTAGGCATTATTTTTAATAAAAGCGTCAATTTTTGTAGTATTTAAAAGTAAACTACGTTGTAATGTACATACTGGTTACCCGCAATGTTTTCCTTGGCACGTAAGAAAAACCCGTAAAATTGCGTTCCCTGTGATGCCGGCGAAGATCTAATTCGAATTGCTGGCGTGCTATACTAATATCACTCAGCTACCACAGCTTGTCTATGTTTGTTTATTATTTTATCTAGATTCAATACATGGGCGGAACCTGGACCTATCGATAATGGCGACTTCGTATGTGTACACGGTGGCATCCGGCCCGAGAGAGCTTCGCAGCTTTCCGCCCTGGCCGCCGTACTGCCTCAGCCGCTGTGGCAGTTTTTGCATTGCCAGTATGTAGATTCTAACCAGAATGGTATAAAGTACTTTTTCATTTCTTTTACAGGTTTACTTGCAAATTTTATACGTAGTTAAGGCTTAAATAAAATCTTTTAACCCTTCAAGCACCATAAAAATCTCATGCAGTCGCATGCGCCCGGCAAATACCGAGCGGTCGCGTGCGACCGCACCCACCCACAGCACTTCAAAGCATTAAAACTTATATTTAGAGACTACTTTTCTAGGAAGAAGTTTAGTATTATAAAATCTATACAAAATTCTCTATCCTGTGGTCTAAACAAAAGTCCGGTTTCACTTCATTACAAAAAGATTTTATTATATTTTGATAACAAAAAAACATACCAAAGAATCGTCGGCAGCGTAAAAATCAAATTATTTCTATATATATAGTTCGAGTAATATATATATATATATATATATATATATATATATATATATATATATATATATATATATACATATATATATTACTCGAATTTATTTACGTAAAAAAAAACTATACACACAAAAACACTTATTACAATTTTGTCTTTACACTATACTAAAACACTAGAAAAAACCAAAAATCAACACAATAACATTCACGCGAAAATGGCGTACGAAATGAACGTAGATTATAAATAAATATTCGTAGTATTACAGTTTTTTTATTGCAATAGAGGAATAGAGTATTTCATATTCAGTTCGTTCTTTGCTCCGTAGCGTACGGTCGCGCTTACTATTTGCACCGATTAGTGCAACCGGTGCAATTTTAGCCAGTGCTTCTCAAACTTTTCTATATCTAAGCTTATAAGTTGTTAGTACCTGTCGCAATGGATACTCATAATTGTGGTGCATGTGGGGAGTTGTTATCAGAAGGTCCTCACTGCACTGTGTGTAATCAAGAGCTACATTTTCATTGTGCTGGAATAACCGAAGCTGGCTATCGCAAGCTGGGAGACAGAAAGTCTACCTGGCGATGTGTCAAGTGTAAGCAAACTCACTCTATTCAGCCTCCTTTATCACCAAGGATTGAATCCGATGCACTAATACTTAAGGAGATAAGAGCTCTATCTGATAAACTGGCGCCATTAGAATGCCTTAAAGATGAAGTCATTGCCCTGAGATCTGAATTTGCTGATCTTAAATCTTCACTAAATAATACTAATTTGGCGCTAAAAGAATTTAATGACAAAATTAAGGACTTTGAACAGCGTCTAGTACAGGTCAAGAAAGTACAAAAACATGCTAACCTAATTCAGACACGGTTAGAAAAACCGGAGTAGGAGTCGAACTCTGCGGAGCGATGGTCAAGAATGAGTAATGTAGAAATAAAGGGAGTACCTCAGACAATAAAATTTGTTTGAAATCATATCCAAAATTGGGTCTATGATACAATATACGATTACAAAGACTCAGGTTAATTTCGTCACGAGAGTACCAACCCGTGAGAAGGAGCACAACAAACCGATAATAATCTGTTTCTGCAATCGCTATGTGAAGGAAGATTTTGTGGCGGCAGCCAGATATGCATCGAAGACTAGTCATCTCACATCAAGCAACTTGGGATTTGTGGGCTACAATAGAATTTACATCAACGACCACCTAACCCTGCACAATAAGACCTTACTCTCTAAAACAAAAAAGGCAGCGGTTGAAATGAATGTTCGCTATGTGTGGGCCAAGCATGCCAAGATACACGTAAGAAAAACCGATACATCGCATATAATTATGGTGAAGTCAGAAAGAGACCTTTCAAAAATAATGTGATGTTAAACTTATCTTTTTACTTTATTGTTATTATTCATAATGTTAAACTTACTATTTGTGTGATGTTAAACTTATCTTTCTATTCTATTACTATTATTCATAACTTGTTTTTATACTACACAAAACTTTTAATATGACAGTTTGAGATGCATACGATATCGCGGTGTGTTTACGTATTCCCCATTTTGTTGTGCAATTACGTATTCGTTTACTTAATAATTTTTAAACATCTTACCAATATCGATAAACTATTTTTAAATCTTATTACATGTAGCTTGGTTCGCTTTTTGGTCTATACATTTGCTAACGAATATGAACAATATTTGCTTGTTGATATCTTGTACGTATATCATTGATTTTACTCATTGGTCGTGAGCACTCGAGACTCCCGTGTTGCATACGACGGCGCATTGTTCTACCTTTATAAATTTTTTTTGCGCCCGAAGCAAATATGGGCAACCCTCCGGAAAGCGGGGGAGGGAGGTTGGGAATGCTCATAGCATACCACGCAGCCGGCTGCGTGGTTATGTGGTGACTTTTACCCACTAAACCCAACCTTTTAGGAATTGGCTTAACGATCTGACTAGAGATCTCTAAGCCGTATACATACGCGACCCTCCTTGGCAGAACGGAGGGCGCATCCTTTATAAATTATCTACCCGCTTTTATATGGTATTTACGTTCTATGTTTTAAATGTTACTTTTCTAATACTAGTTAATTTACTTTTATTGGAATGCTGCATTATGACAATGAATTTAGTTATAGTTAATTTCAATCATGGAATCGATTAAAATATATTACTAAAATTTACGCGGTTTACGAACAAAAACTTAACTTACTTAACTTGTTTAGGAACGTATGTTTAAATTCGTATGATATTATTATAGTTACCGAAACGTGGTTGGTCGATAGTATACATAACAGTGAATTATTTGATGGCCGATATTTAGTATGGAGACGGGATCGCAATTACTGTAATACTTCACAAACGCGTGGGGGTGGTGTACTAATTGCTGTGAGGAATGATCTTTCGGTAGTGGAGAGAGGTGACTGCCGTAGTTCAGCGGAAGATATTTGGGTCTCTATTTTACTAAAAAAGATCCAGGTCGCAAGTGACATACAATATAAACATTTGTGCCCTTTACCTGTGTAAAGAAAATATCGGTAACTCATATAATACCCAATTGCAAAATTTCACACAAAATATTAATACCATAATTACGTCAAATTCGTGTGATAAATTCATAATCGTAGGTGATTTCAATTTTGGTAGTCAAGTAGATTGGAATGTTTGCAGCGATAGTTATTACCTACCAATTATTCCTGTCAATATATTTCTGATTTTCTCAACTCTATTCAGACCTGCAGCTTATCTCAATATAATTGTATACGTAACTTAAATGGGAGACTACTTGACTTGGTTTTCTCTAATGACCTTGTAGATGTTAAGGAGTGTTATGAACCATTAGCAATGCCCGCAGATATGCACCATAAAGCTTTGATTATAAAGGCTGACTTTGTTGAAATACACAAATAAGTTGACAAGAAGAAAAACACTTATCTTTTTCACAAAGGTTACTCGGCTATCACTCAGCTCTTGACCAGGTAAACTGGTATGAGCTTTTGAGAAATGACTCTCTAGACAATGTTGTTAATCTCTTTTATAATAAATTATATGAACTTAGAGACCAGTTTATTCCCATAAAATCCACTAGACGTTCGTCACACCCTCCATGGTATAATGCTGCGTTTCTATAGGTCTTAAAAGAAAAACACAGGTATCATCGCAAGTTTAAACTATATAGTAATTTATACGACTACCAATCTTTTGCATTATTACGCATAAGGGCTAACCAGTTAGAGCGGGACTGCTTTGAATCCTATATTGATAAAGTCGAATCTTCCATAACTAGTAACCCAAAAATTTTCTGGTCTTTTATAAAAAGTAGGAATAATGCATCTGCTACTCCTAATGTTTTTTTTTTATATAGGATAGGGTGACAAACGAGCACACAGTCCACCTGATGGTAAGTGGTTGCTGTGGCCCATCTGTAGTAGATATTGACCTATTCTCTACTAGTTCTAAATCTGTAAAAAAAGTGATGAACAAGAATTTTTCATTCGCAGCCGCGACTAGCATGACTCAAGTTGCTCATTGACTCATTTTTTTTTGTTAACGTTTTTGCATTTTTTTTGTTAATGTTTTTGTAATAGAGCCGTGGTAGCTCAGTGGTTAACGCTCGCTGTAAATATAACAGAACACGAGTAACCCGGGTTCGATCCCCGCCGGCACCAATGAAATTGTTAATTGCAATTTTAAGTGCTGATTTACCACGTGCTCGGCGGTGAAGGAAAACATCGTGAGGAAACCTGCATGTCTGAGGAATAAGAAAAAAAATATTTCGAAGACATTTAGGCAGCGCGGCAGACACTTCCTTGCCCTAAACCCTCTCAGAAATGAGGGTAGGCCTGAGCCCAGCAGTGGGACGTATATAGGCTGTAACTTTACTTTACTTTTTTTGTAATAGTTTAAGTATTCCCAAAAGTATTTTTAAATTTGTATAAAGTTGGATGAAAGTAATATGTGGAGGCTTGTAATTAGCAATTTTTATCACCATTTTGTAACTTTACGAAGATATTAGTCTGTAAGCCTTCCTAAAAGAAGTAAACAAATAAATAAATAATATTGATTATACAGGATGTTTATATAAACACCGTTATCCTTGAAACCAGTGGTTTGGTTTCACTTATATAAAGTAAATTCAATGAAAAATAACATTTTTTTAGTAAAATCTCAATTTTTCCTTAATTCCTCAATTTTTGCCTGTCCTAAGCCAGGATGAAAGTATGAAGGAAAAGTATGTATAATGCCAAACTTCTTCATAGAAATTTAGTCTCTATATATAAGTTTTTATGGGTTAAAGTGCTGTGGGTGGGCGCGACCTCATGAGACCGCTAGAGATTTGACGGAATATGTTCGCGGTCTCATGAGACCGCTAGGGGGTTGAGAGGTTGTCATTACAATATCAAGGACGCTAAAAATATGAAAATTCGTAGTTATTGGGGTTGTAAACACCAAAAATTTTTGTATAATAATATATAAAATAGCTACTCTTTATAGTTTATATAGGCACGTGAAACATATCTGTGATAATATTTAACCATTTTTGTGTTTGAAAGCTCTAACAGGCTCTAACTATATTGATGATAATTTAAGAATATAAGTAAAAAAGGAAAATTAGTTAAGTAGTCTATTAGGAAATAATCTTTGAATCTCGTTATTTTGATTGATTGACACGGGTATTTTTCACTGTAACAAATGTAT